GGGATAGCAACCTTGAGGGGAAACCAAGAGGCGGCCAAGCATTGTTATATGACCTCCGTTGTGAGGTCTCGAAACAACAAAGAAATAGCCCCATTACCGGAGCCACCCCACCCAGAGGCCCCAAATACCAAACGGATAATGGGTGTAGAGCTGCCAGATAACCGACCAGAGGACGACCCAAGGGCCACCCCGGTCGAGGAGGTCGAAGAGGTGCAACTCGATGATAATGACCCCTCCAAGAGGACTCAGATCGGCACGAGGCTGACTCCTGTAGAAAAAGAAGAGCTCGTGGGCTTCCTAAAAGCGAACAAGGACGTGTTTGCATGGACCTCGGCTGACATGCTTGGAATCCCAACTTCGGTGGCAGTGCACAAACTCAGCACCAACCCTTTGAGGAAACCAATAACACAGAAAAGACGACTATTTGGGGGGGAAAGACTCACGGCTATCAAGGAGGAGGTGCAAAAGCTCTTACAAGCAGGATTTATCAGGAGAGTAGACTACTGCAAGTGGATCGCCAACCCTGTCATGGTAAAAAAGTCAAATGGCAAGTGGCGCATGTGCATAGATTATACCAACCTCAACGACGCCTGCCCCAAAGATTGTCATCCCATGCCAAGCATAGACAAGCTGGTGGAGGCCGCCTCAGGAAATGAAAGGTTAAGCCTCCTTGATGCCTACTCGGGGTATCATCAAGTCCGTATGGCACCCGAGGATGAGGTGAAAACCTCATTTTACGCTGGAGATGAGATCTACTGTTATGTGATGATGCTGTTTGGGCTCAAAAATGCAGGAGCAACATACCAGAAAATGGTCACAATTGTGTTCCGAGCTCAAATCAGTAGAAACCTCGAGGTCTATGTAGATGACATTGTTGTCAAGAGTTCTCGAGCAGAAGACCACTTGACTGATCTGGCTGGGACGTTCAACAACCTCAGAAGATGCAGCATGAAGTTGAATCCAGCAAAGTGCACTTTCAGTGTTGAATCGGGCAAGTTTCTGGGTTTCATGGTTTCCAGAAGGGGGATAGAGGTCAACCCTAAGAAGATAAAAGCAATAGAAGAGATGAAACCACCGAGATCAACCAAGGACGTGCAACGCCTAGCAGGGAGAATAGCAGCACTGCACAGATTTATCTCCAAATCAGCAGATAAGTGTTTGCCTTTCTTCAAGGTCCTGAGAACTACAGCTCAAAAGGATGAAGCGGGAAAACCTCGGAAGTTCAACTGGACGACGGAATGTCAAGTGGCTTTTGACGAGCTCAAAGCCTACCTCAGCTCGCCGCCTCTGCTGACTAAGGCCCAGGAAGGTGAAATCCTTTATCTCTGCCTCGAAATATCTGATACTGCTGTCAGTTCTGTCTTGATCAGGGAAATGGGGAAACAACAGCAACCAGTATACTATGCCAGTAAGGTGCTGCAGGGAGTTGAGCAGAGATACTTAATAGTGGAGAAGGCAGCCCTAATAGTTGTTGTTACCGCAAGAAAATTGAGGCCATATTTCCAATCTCACCTTATCATCATGATGACTGATCAGCCTCTAAGGCAAATTCTACAGAAACCAGAATGCTCCAGGAGACTCATCAAATGAGCAGTAGAGCTGGGGGAATTTCAAATAGCATTCCAGCAAAGGTCGGCAATCCGAGCTCAAGCCTTGGCAGATTTCGTGGTCGAATGCACTTCTAATCAGATGGAGCCGAGCTCTGAGGCAGAAACATGGATCCTATATGTCGACGGATCATCTAATAGCAAGGGTTCAGGAGCTGGAGCAGTATCAACTGGACTTAACAGCTTCCGGAGTGAACACGCTTTGAAGTTCAACTTCGAGGCCACAAACAACGTGGCCGAGTACGAAGCCCTCCTCCTGGGACTGCGTTTAGCAGCCGAACTAAAAGTCAAACGCCTGCAGATTTACAATGACTCACAGTTGCTAATTAACCAAATCAATTCTATGTGTGAAGTCATTGATCCCATCTTGGCGAGGTATGTGGCCGCAGTCTCTGAGCTGAAAAATCGGTTCGAAAAATTCTAGCTTACAAAGATTCCGAGAGCAGAAAATGAGCATGCAGATTTTTTGTCGAAGTTAGCATCTGAGAACTCCGGGGAAGCAAAGTCCGTGTACATCGAGATACTGAATGAACCGAGCTTTCAGACGTCGGGGGTGATGGAGATTAGCACTGACCCAGATGCTCTGAGTTGGACAAACCCCATCCGGGAGTACATCCTCAACGGTACCGTCCCAGGGGACAAACAGGAAGAGATGAAGTTGCGAAGAAAAGCCTCTCGGTACACCCTGGTTGGTGACATTCTGTACAAGAGGTCCTACTCGTTACCACTCCTCAGATGCCTGACACCATACGAAGCAGAGTATGCAATAAGAGAAGTACACGAGGGGGTATGCGGTAGTCACGTGGGAGCCCGGACTCTAGCACATAAGGTACTTCGGCAAGGGTACTATTGGCCTAACATGCAAGAAGACGCAAAGAAGTTCGTGCAGAGGTGCCAGAAATGCCAGTTCTTCGCCCATCTCACCCATCAGCCAGCCGAAGAACTCACTAGCATGACCGCACCATGGCCCTTTGCTTAATGGGGAGTAGACCTTCTGGGCCCCTTTGTCAAAATAGTAGGAGGAGCAACGCATTTAGTGGTCGCTGTTGATTACTTCACCAAATGGGTAGAAGCCAAACCTCTCTCTTGCCTGACTTCGAGAAGAATTGAGGATTTCCTCTTCAGCTCGGTCATTTACAGATATGGGATACCAAACCAGATCATCACTGACAACGGCCCCCAGTTCAATTGTAACTCCTTTAGGGACTTCTGCTCCAGCTACGGGATTAAGTTGGTATTCACCTCCGTCTATCATCCCGAAGCCAATGGAATGGTTGAATCAGTCAACAAAGCCATCTTGGAAGGAATCAAGCCGAGGTTAGATCAGCTGAAAACAAAGTGGGTAGATGAACTCAACAACATCCTGTGGGCTTACCGGACAACAAGTCGAACTGCCACAGGTATGTCCCTCACTTTGATTCTCTCTTCTATTACCTTATTCACAGTTACAGACTACCCTTTAAAGTAAATCCTAAAATTAATCTCCTGCAAATAGGCGAAACGCCCTACCACTTAGCCTTCGGCACCGAGGCAGTCATTCCTGTCGAAATTGGTGTCCCAAGCCTAAGAATCAGTCACTTTGAACCAGTTCAAAAGGAGCGTCTACTAAGGGAAAACCTTGATCTCCTGGACGAAGTCCAAGAGCAATCTCGACTTCGGACTCTAGCATACAAACAAAGAATAGCCAACCTTTATAATAAACGGGTCCGACCTCGAAACTTCAGAGTCGGTGACCTCGTCCTCAGAAAGGCTGGGCTCACAGGGTTCGAAACCCGTTATGGCAAGCTAGCACCAAACTGGGAAGGCCCCTACGTTGTAACCGAGATCCCACACCCCGGTGCGTATATTCTCCAAGATGCCGAGGGCAAGAGGGTGCCTAGAGTTTGGAATGTTAATAATCTTAAAAACTTCTACCCTTGAGTTTCTTTC